CTCTCACCCTCCGCATCTCTGGCCTGTACCCCAGTTCTGTATGAATAAATAAATAAATCTTTAAAAAATAAATAAATAAAAAATAAAAAATAAAAAATTCCTCAAATCAGTGAAACTAACGATTGATTCTTTGAGAAGATAAACAAAACTGATTAAACACTAGCTAGGCTAAAATGAAAAGAAGACAGACAATAATAAAAATCAGATTTAGAAGTGAAAGAGAGAGATGACCACAGATGACATAGAAATAGGGAGGTTCATAAGAGATTTTTATGAGAAACTATATGTCAATACATTTAAAAACCTTGAAGAAATGGATAATATTCTAAAACGATATAGTATACCAAGACCGAACCGGAAAGAAAATAATTGAATAAATCAGTCACAACTGTGGAAATTGAGGATCATTTATTTTTTAAAAATGCAGGGTCATTTATTATTAAAAAATACCTTTGTCATCAAAGATAAAGAAAAGCTGAAGAAACTGTTCCAGATTAAAGGAGAACAAAATGATATGAAAAATAAACACAATAAGGGATCATGGGGAAAATACTGTACTGGGGAGGAAAATGTTATAAAGGACATCCCTTGGGTCAATTGATAAAATCAGAATGTGGATAGGAGCTTAAATATAAGGATAGCATTTCTAGTTTTAGATATTTAAGTCTGCTTTGAACCTTTGATACATATCTTTACATATACATATAGACATCTATTTGATACATATCTTTACATATACATATAGACATCTATTTTGTTATCTTGGCTAGATACTAAGGGATAGAAAGGCTGGGACATATAGAAAGGATATATTTAACCTTTTAAAAAACCTATTATATCAATATTACATTTCTTGAAGTTGCTTTTTCTGTTCTTAGGAAATATACTTTCATGTATTTAGGAGATAAAGGGTACCCATATAGTAATATTTTCTGATTCCAAGAATTTGAAACAAAATGAAGAACAAATAAGGCAAAATTTTTTTTTTTTTAAAGATTTATTTATTTGTTCATACAGAACTGGGGTACAGGCCAGAGATGCGGAGGGTGAGAGGATTCACCAGACAGAGTGGGGAGCAGAACAGGCAGATCTATGAGGTACACTGCTGAGGGGAGCAGCGGGCGGGCCAGGAGAGGTCTGCCACGCCATGTGGATCTCCTCTGGGCAGGCGGGCATCGAACTCATGCGGAAGTGGCTCTAGTTTCCCAGTACAGTGCTTTAACCCGCTGTGCCACCAGGGAGGGCCCCAAATAAGGCAAAATTTAACTGGTGAGTTTAGATAGAGAGTGTATGGGAATTCTTTGTACTACCCTTGCAACTTTTCCATAATTTTGAAATTATTTATTTCCAAGTAAAAAAGTTAAAAAATAAAAGCAATAACAGGTTAGAATGGGTTCTTAAAATCAGTAGTATGCTGTTAAAATCTATATGAGCATTAAGATGTATTAATATAATTTTGATAGCATTTAATCTAAGAATTTCCATATAGTTTTTCTCAATTTCTGTATCTCAGTGTTGCCTGAAATGATAAAGGATTGTTAAATGAAGTTCTTTTCCTGGATCAGCAGCCAATCTCCTTGGATAGAATTGAAGATCTGTTTTAACCATATTTTTCAGTTTTTAGAAAATATGAAGTGTATGATAGATTCCAGACTCAACTTATGATTCTTCAGCTTTAAAATGATATGAATGTGGAAGCAACTAATACTACAAGGGAAAAAACCCCAGAGAAAAATGTTAAATCTCAGTTATCTTAACTTCTGAAATTGAAGACTTAGGGTTGATAATAATTTCACATTATGTAGGAGGAAAAGAAATACTTTTCATTTCTTCTTAGGTGGGACATAGAAATAAATCTATCCCAGAGAGTTTTTACAAAGACTTTACTAACCAAGGCTGCAGTTTCCTTAGCGATCTTCACGTATATTCTCCATCCCTGAATGGGGTTTGATTAGAGATGCCCACATTTACATGCCTCCCCTTGCTACTTAGTAGTTAGACAGCTTTCTGAAGACATGTTCAAGCTAGTAATCTAGAATCTTTCATATGTATGCGAAAACCAGAATGGTTCCCAAAGTTCACATTTTCTGGTCACTCAGAAACCTGTGTACCAGACCTGTCAACTCATTTAGCTGCATACCTGTGAAATTTTTTTTTCATATGTTAAATTTTTTTCTTCACCTTCAGCTTTGTCTCTATCAGCTGGGCTATTTTTGTAACATGCTTATCATGGATGGAAGGGATGATCTCTTCCTGTACACTCAGCTTTCTTTTCTTATGATTCCCCACCTCAAAAAAAAAAGGGGGTGGGGTGGGAGAATGCAGTAGTGTTCTGGATGTTAGTATTGCTCTCTCTCTCTCTCTTTTTTAAAGATTTAATTTATTTATTTATGCATACAATAGCTGGATGTAGGCCAGAGATGATGCCAGGTAAGAAGACTCACCAGAGACAGAGGAGGGAGCAGCACACTCCCCACTGAAATACACTACTGAGGGGAGACAGGAGAGGTTTGCTGTGCCAGTGTGGGTCACCTCCCTGGCTGGGGATCACACTGTGCTACATTGGCTGCTGATAGCTGCATAGTGCTGAGACTTAACCCCTTGTGCTAACAGGGAGGCCCTGCCTCATATTTCTTTGTGAAAATAATATGTGATTAATAATTCAGAGAAATACTTGATATCATAGCTACCTCCTGGAGATGAATGTTGTGCATGAATTTCAGGCCTGAGAAACCCCAAGATTTATCTATTTCCTTAAAAATATTTAATCTCAAGTTCTTAAACATAGAAAGCTTTACTTTAGGAATACTGATTAATATCACACAGGACAGTAGGATTTGGTGGTGTGTGACCTGAAGAACTCTAAATTTGAAGAAACAGTGGAAAACTAGAAATAGTAGAAACATTTGTCTCCACTTTAAAAAGCTACTTCTAGGGCCCTCCCTGGTGGCACAGCGGGTTAAAGCACAGCACAAAGAAGCTTAAGCCACTTCCTCATGAGTTCGATTCCCGCCTGCCCCGGAGGTGATCCATATGGTGTGGCAGAGCTCTCCTGACCCTCCCGTTGCTCCCCTCAGCAGTGTACTTCCTCGATCTGCCTGTTCTGTACCCCACTCTGTCTCTGGTGAAGCCTCTCACCCTCCGCATCTCTGGCCTGTACCCCAGTTCTGTCTGTACGAATAAATAAATAAATATTAAAAAAAAAAAAGAAGAAAAGCTACTTCTAGATTTTATTTTCCCGTGAAAATTTTCCCCCACCCCCCATGAGCAGCTATAATTAATTGTAGATGTTTTCCTGACCAGCTTTTGGCTATTCTTTTCTGACCTGTGAAAGCTACCCTTGACATGAGGAGGTTTAGGAACCGGCGGTATAACCAAATAGACCTAAGAAGATCATAGACAGGTTGCCTTACTGGAGGCAACTAAGCAGAGTTGTAGAGCATAATAGGGAGGCTTAGGGGAAAGCCGCTGCCCAATCTCCTTATCCGCCTCTGCTAGCTGCCTGTCTGATATGGCCCTCATGGTATCTCATTTTGAGCTACTAAAAAAAAAAAAAAAAAAAAAAAAAAAAAAACACCTAAGTACATCTGAAAAGATGTAAAAATTATTTTTTCTAAGTTTTATTTATGCATACAGAACTGGGGTACAGGCCAGAGGTGCAGGGCCAGTGAGAGGATTCACCAGAGGGGTAGCAAAACAGGCAGATGGACGAAGAACACTGCCGAGGGGAGCAGCGGGTGAGTCAGGAGAGGTCTGCTGTGTCATGTGTCACATCCAGGGCCAAAGATGGAATGCGCACTGAAGCAGCTGCTGCCAGCTTGCAGTGCTGCATCCAAACCCGTTGTGCCACCAGGGAGGGCCAGATGTAAATATTATTAACTCATGCTCACTGGGACCAGGGCTGATGGAGATGAGCCATAAAGTCCCCTTGGCACCTGTGCGTTATTCACCTGTTCCTCTTCCTACCCACCCTAGGCTGCCACACCTGACAAGGGGTGTCCAAACTGGGAAATAAACTCCTTTCCTCTCATTTTTCTCCTGTTTCTGGCAATGCACAGTCTGTGTTGATCTTGACTTTTCCTGTTAGTCTTCAAAACAAAAAACTCAGTGCTGTAAATCACTGGCATTTTCTCTCTAAATGATTTCGGTATTGCATTACATAATATAACCAGTGGGATGCAAGAACTGTAAACTATTTACTGTGAAGTCATATTTCAATTAAGTAAGTACTTCTTGTGTTCCCTTGGCATCTCAGCATCCCCAGGCTCCGGCATTTGCTCAGCTGTTACGACTCCGGAGAAGCTGTGTTCCTGGGAGAGCGCTACGGTTACGGTCTGGGCTCGGGCGGCTACAGTTACGTCACCGGCGGAGGCGGGTAACTATGAGCTTGGCTTCTGCAAATACTCTGAATAATAAACGTCCCTTTCCACAGTGCAGAGGTGTGTCTGTTGGAAATCCATACAGAACCTGTAACCGATTTGTAATCAGCCGTTGTTATTCCAATAGGAGAGTGAACATTGACTTTGCTATGAAAAGACCTCACAGTAAAGACTACGCTGCCTCTTGAAGAGAATATAAAAATGCATGTCGAGGTACTTTTGTACAACTGTCCCTGTAGATTGCCTCTAGGCAGCAGCCAATTTCTTTTGATTGCCTGTTTAAATGGAAAAAAAAAAAGGATAGAGATTTTAGTTTCAGAAAATAAGCCATTATACTTTTAAATTATTAAGTGCTTATAAACCATTATTATGGGAAAGGGTGGTAAATAGTTTAGACTTAAGCAATTAAGTGTATTTGTGTAGGACTTATACAGGTTTTAAATAACAATTAAACATTAATTTTTTAAATGAAACATCTGCCTGATCTCTTCTGGGGAAAGATTTTCATTTGGTTTGTGATAGTTATATCTATTGATCAGTTAGCCTTTCTATACTGTAGTCTATACTATTGGGGTTTTTAGGGAGCATCAGCTTGTTATCAATCATAGTAATTTAAATTCCTGAAGTAGATGTTTGTTGAATATCCACTATGTGGCATGGAACTGGATTCTAAATCTCCTAAAAAACTAGGACGCTATGTTCTTACCTTGTGGTATAGAAAGAACTACTTCCACGACCACCCTAGAATCACTGCTGAATCAGCCAGACCAAGCAAGAACACCTGAAACAGGACTCATGCCATCCTATGGTAGAGACAATTCTATACCACAAGGTAGAACACAGTGTCCTAGTTTTTTAGGAGATTTAGAATCCAGTTCCATGCCACATAGTGGATATTCAACAAACATCTACTTCAGGAATTTAAATTACTGTGATTGATAACAAGCTGATGCTCTCTAAAGACCCCAATAGTATAGACTAGAGTATAGAAAGGCTAACTGATCAATAGATATAACTATCACAAACCAAATGAAAATCTTTCCCCAGAAGAGATCAGGCAGATGTTTCATTTAAAAACAGCCTGAGCAGCAGTGCTGCACTTTGTCAGGCTATGGCCTGGGTCCACCGAATTCATCAGTAACAAGAGTTGGGAATCCACGTAAGCATGTGAAGGGGAAGTCCAAAATGTGCTGACCTCTTGATTAAGAAAAGATAAAGCCAGTTTTTGCTTTCTGGTAATGATTTAGTTTTCTGGGAAGAGTGAGGGCCTAGGAAAGATCACAGCATTCACCTTTTGAACCAGCACTTTTAAAGGTGCCCTGATGTTTGTCTATGAATTTATGTATTTGGGAATACAAAGGTGTTCATGTGCTTTCAACATAGAAGTGACATTCTATATTTTCAGCAAGAAAACAATTTTGTTGTCTTCCCTGTCTGTTGGATTTAGCTGCTACTTCTTGAGACCGGCACTTGAGTCTTTCTCTGACCATACTTAATCAGCATTGTTTTTCATGATTCCAGTTGGTCATTCATTCACTCAACAGGCCTAACCTGTGCCAGGCAATAGTGGGGATGCAGCCGAAAGCCCCCATTCCTTCCCTAGAAGAGCTCGCAGTCTAGTGCCAGATTGGCACATGTTACTCCTCCTCTCTGGGCATGTGGAGGTTCTTCTGAATCTCCATAAGGGCACCTTTAATCTATTACATGTTCAACATCTACCTTGCTACTAGGTATTTCCCATCACCTACAGTTTTTCCATCTTAAAACTTTTTGCCATCATACCATCTCTTTTCCCCTTCAGAGCTTCTCAAGAATTCACTACTCTCATCTCTGCTTCCTCAGCTCCTTCCATCTGACCTCTCTGCTCATCCTTCTGCCTGACTGACTTGCTAAGGTCTCTGGTAATCTCCGTGTAGCCAAATCAAATAGTTTGCCTCCACTGTTTTTCTTATTTAGCCTTGTAGCAGCCTTTGAAATACTGTCTCTTCCCTGAAACACTTTTTTGCTTGCTTTCCAGAACAGTCCTGTCCTTACTTACTGCTGTCTTTCAAATCAGACCTATCAGTTCCTTTACCTGTGCCTAAAATATCTGTGTTTTCCAGTCATCTCTTTTTAGTCTCTCTTCTCTTCACTTTACATTCTTGTGGGGTGACTTTCACCATGGCTTTATGCTGAGTTATGTTCAAATCTCTATACTCAGCCTAAAACTCTCTCTGATATTGTGAGTTGTATCCATCTACCGAAGGACACCTCTGCTGGGATAATCCACAGGTATAGCAAAGTCGACACCTCCCATACTGACCTCATCATTTCTGATGTTAGCCTTGTTTGGTGTTCCAGTGCGCCTCGGTCAGGGTGGACACCAGCATGTGTGAGTTCCTGCTTCAAGGAGCACTCACTGTTTCTCTTCTTCATTCCCTATACTCCCCTGCAGTGAACTTAGTCACAAAGTGAAATCAGTTTTTTATTTGAAATGTCTCTTCCCTCAAGACTCCTTTCTGTCCATGTCAGTAATTCTGATCTGTCACTTTCATTTCTTTAGTGAGTTCCTGGAGGCCACCACCTCCTGATCTCCCTCCTTCTCTTCCTTTTCTATTTCTATTCTACTATTCCCTGTACTCAGTCAGGAAAACCTCCTGAAGCACATCTGTTCTTACCTCTTTCTTACCAAGAGGGCGTCACTAACTTCCTGTTGCTTTTGTTTTTCTCTAAGAATGTGAACACTTTCTTACTTTTGGCATCTTAAGACTAGAAATAATCATTCAGACATCAATAAGAGGCAAGGTGATTTGGGATTGAACCTCAATTTAACCACCTCTTTTGACTCATCCACAGGTAAAGTTTTAACCAGGTCTTTTTTTCTACCCTCCTGTCTGTGGGCCCAATTTGCCCTTGAAAGGGAGCCCCAATTTGCTACTCCCCTGTGAAGGGGTCCTCTCT